TAGTGTAATGTAGTGTAGTGTAGTGAAGCGGAGCGAAGGGACATCTGAACCTCCAAAAGTGGTCCGAACCCCTGGTGTTTTTAGCATTTTGACTTCGAAATGTGCTTCGCGCCACAACGGCGTGCACTTTTTCGACATCTGAACCTCCAAAAGTGGTCCGAGCATGGTGTGTTTTGTACATTTTGACTTGGAAATGTGCTTCGCGCCACAACGGCGTGCACTTTTTCGACATCTCAACTTCCAAAAGTGGTCCGAGACCGCCAGTTTTTTACACTTTTGACTTCAGAATGTGCTTCGCGCCACAACGGCGTGCACTTTTTCGACATCTTGACTTCCAAAAGTGGTCCGAGACCGCCAGTTTTTTACACTTTTGACTTGGAATGTGCTTCGCGCCACAATGGCGTGCACTTTTTCGACATCTCAACTTCCAAAAGTGGTCCGAGACCGCCAGTTTTTTACACTTTTGACTTCGAAATGTGCTTCGCGCCACAACGGCGTGCAATTTTTCATCGCTCCTGTGGCCAGCTGGCTCCGCACCCGCCGCTTTAGCGAGCCTACTTTTCGACTCTCCGGAGCCACAAATCATTGGAAAAACACAGTGTTTCGCGACTTTCCTACCTTTTCGCGCATCTGTATCTTCTGTCTTCTTACTCTTTCTCTTCTGATCTTCTCTCTTCTAATCTTCCTCTTCTCTCTGCCTCTGCCCTGCTCTGCTTTTCATCTCTCCATATTGTCGGAAGTTTGACTTCTAAACTTCCTTCGACTAATTAATATCGGGTGCAGTTCCTGTTATGGAGATATGATATAACCATGATATAACATGATATAACATGATATAACCATGATATAACATGATAAAACCATGATATAACCATGATATAACCATGATATAACCATGATATAACCATGATATAACATGATATAACCATGATATAACCATTAATATAACATGATATAACCATGATATAACCATTAATATAACATGATATAACCATGATATAACATGATATAACCATGATATAACCATTAATATAACATGATATAACCATGATATAACCATTAATATAACATGATATTACCATGATATAACATGAAATAACCATGATATAACATGATATAACCATGATATAACCATGATATAACATGATATAACCATGATATAACCATGATATAACATGATATCACCATGATATAACATGATATAACCATGATATAACCATTAATATAACCATGATATAACCATTAATATAACATGATATAACCATGATATAACATGATATAACCATGATATAACCATGATATAACCATGACATAACCATGATATAACCATGATATAACCATGATATAACCATGATATAACCATGATATAACCATGATATAACCATGATATAACCATTAATATAACATGATATTACCATGATATAACATGAAATAACCATGATATAACATGATATAACCATGATATAACCATGATATAACATGATATAACCATGATATAACCATGATATAACATGATATCACCATGATATAACATGATATAACCATGATATAACCATTAATATAACCATGATATAACCATTAATATAACATGATATAACCATGATATAACATGATATAACCATGATATAAACATTAATATAACATGATATAACCATTAATATAACATGATATAACATGATATAACATGATATAACCATTAATATAACATGATATAACATGATATAACCATGATATAACATGATAAAACCATGATATAACCATGATATAACCATGATATAACCATTAATATAACCATGATATAACATGATATAACATGATATAACCATTAATATAACATGATATAACCATGATATAACATGATATAACCATGATATAACCATTAATATAACATGATATAACCATGATATAACCATTAATATAACATGATATAACCATGATATAACCATGATATAACCATTAATATTACATGATATAACCATGATATAACATGATATAACCATGATATAACATGATATAACCATGATATAACCATGAATATAACATGATATAACCATGAAAAAAACCATGATATAACCATGATATAACATGATATAACCATGATATAACCATTAATATAACATGATATAACCATGATATAACCATGATATAACATGAAATAACCATGATATAACATGATATAACCATGATATAACCATGATATAACATGATATAACCATGATATAACCATGATATAACCATGATATAACCATGATATAACCATTAATATAACATGATATAACCATGATATAACATGATATAACCATGATATAACATGATATAACCATGATATAACATGATATAACCATGATATAACCATTAATATAACATGATATAACCATGATATAACCATGATATAACATGATATAACCATGATATAACCATTAATATAACATGATATAACATGATATAACATGATATAACCATGATATAACATGATATAACCATGATATAACATGATATAACCATGATATAACATGATATAACCATGATATAACCATGATATGATATAACCATTAATATAACATGATATAACCATGATATAACATGATATAACATGATATAACCATGATATAACCATGATATAACCATGATATAACATGATATAACCATGATATAACATGATATAACCATGATATAACCATGATATAACCATGATATAACCATGATATAACATGATATAACCATGATATAACCATGATATAACATGATATAACCATGATATAACCATTAATATAACATGATATAATCATGATATAACCATGATATAACATGATATAACCATGATATAACCATTAATATAACATGATATAACCATGATATAACCATGATATAACATGATATAACCATGATATAACCATTAATATAACATGATATAACCATGATATAACATGATATAACCATGATATAACATGATATAACCATGATATAACATGATATAACATGATATAACATGATATAACCATGATATAACCATGATATAACCATGATATAACATGATATAACATGATATAACCATGATATAACATGATATAACCATGATATAACCATGATATAACCATGATATAACCATTAATATAACATGATATAACCATGATATAACATGATATAACCATGATATAACCATGATATAACCATGATATAACCATGATATAACCATGATATAACCATGATATAACCATGATATAACCATGATATAACCATGATATAACCATGATATAACCTTTAATAATACTTTAATATAGTTATTGGATGTTATTGGAGACATCTCCCAACTCAATGTGGGTGAATCATGGTGAATCTCCGTGCCGACCTGCCAGCTGGCCAGCAGCATCGGTCGGCCATGTAGGGCACTGGCCAAGGAGAGGGCCGCGCTCATCCCGCCAGTGGCTCGTTGTTTCATTTTTGCCAACAGAAAACTCCATTTTTGAACGAGAAAAAAAATGGGTTGCTGCCATTGCCGCTTTTTGTTGATAACACGCTCTGTCTGGATGTGTACTGGCTGTTTTGTCTGGATGTGTACTGGCTGTGTACTGAGTGCTGCTCTGATTTGGTTGGAATCCTGCGGATATGTCCAGAGTGCTATCGCGCCACCAGAGTGCTGAAGACTGAAGCTGCATAGATATGTCCATATACTTTTTACTGAAACTGCTTCAGCACTGACTATCACAGCTTTTCTCCGAAACAAGCAGCTGAATTGGCTACGGAGGTCTGTTTGGCTGACAAGGAAGGGTGCATCGACACGATCCACAGGTACAGCAGCGACTGACGTCCCCCCATGATATGAAATACCACCCATCTTTGGGACATAGAAAGGAAGAGGAATCCAATACTACCTGTAAATTAATATATTATAAATTATAATATAATATGAGCGGAAAGGACGTACTTGGAAACTATATTGAATTTTTAGCAACCCAATCACCATCAATCACCCATGATGTCCATCATAATATGCCTTCACCACGTTCTGCATCCGCGCGATTTGCTGTGCTGATTTCTCAAAATTCCCGGAGAATCCGTGAATGCTCCCTTTACAGAAATCACTTCCAGCACGTGTCTGCCTTTCAAAGAGACTGCACAAGTGCAGCCCTTGACATTCTGACATTCGAGCTTTTTCTTATTCAGATGTCGGCTTGATTCCAGGCTGGGAGAAAAACTTCCCGCACCAAAAGAATAACTATATAGTGTATTATCGGTGGCTCCAGAGCAATGGCCTAGTCCACCGCGACAACAAAAGGCAAAGGTATAGGGGCGTCTATGTCTCAACCATGCGAGCAACTTCAGCGTTACTTCCGAATCTGTGAGTTGAGTTCACAAAACTTAAGTCACTTAAGTCACTATCTCTGAACTCACGGCATCTTCATCATGCTGTAGGCTGTAGACAACCCCCTGGCAGAACTTTGAATCTACCACTCCGTAGCCGTCCATGGAGAACAACTTGTGGCTCTCAGAAACTGGATGGACACAGGAGTGACTCGCCGTCTTGACGAGCGTTGACTCCAGCAGCGAAGCCCAAAAAGATAGAAACATATAAAATCCTATTAGTACCTTTCTATCTAAATGAGTGATATGATAGATATTAGAAACTAAAATCCTATTCTAAAATGATTTGTGATAAATTAGTACCTTGCGATCCTTGCAGTTGCAACTTTACACAATATGCGCGTCGCGTGCGTGCGCGTGCACCTAATAAGAGAATATTTGCCTTCTACATCGATCATGAACATTTCTTGGCGCCCTATTTGAAATTCTACGAACTTGTTTTGGATACATAAATAAACAAAACGCCAGTGAAACAAAGTTCAAACATTTTACCATCCCTCCAACTTACATAGACCCTGAGACTCATCATGTTGATAGCTTTTCCTGATGAATTCATGGCCATGACTGAGGCTTTCCCGCTTTCATATTGCTTCATATTTTCAGATACCACAATTTCCCCCATCTATCCAAAAAATATGATATTCCCAAGTAGTTCAGGAGATATTCCCATGAAATCGCCATGTTCATTGGAAAATTGTTTGGTGACATGAAATCAACCCGTCGGCCGGTCGTTATGTCTCGATGTTCAAGTCGATCTCTCGCAAGTCTGCTTGCTCAACGACTTCACGCTCTGCTTCACCTCAAGGGCCCCAAGGGGCTGAGGCTTTACCAAAAACCCATGAATTTCAATATCATATGTCTATATATCTATACAATATTTGATAATGTATATATATATACATGTATATACTGTATAATATATATATATATAATTATGATGTGCAATATGTTTCCTGATCTGCGAGAATATCATGTCGACTATGTAAAATGCAGATAGTGCAGCACCTGTATCCTAGTGTTACTAAAGAAATACATTGATGCCTGTGCACCAATGTGTACTGATTCATGTAACCAGCAGGTATTGATGTGAACATGTTTGGTCCAAGGTCAACAGTTAAACACCCAGTAGTTAAACACCCAGTAGACCAATCACAATCATTTCCTTACGTGTATGGGTGCTTCTTCAAATGGTAACCTGGTAACCTGGTACCTCACCAAAAATCACCAAAAACCGTCCCAAAGTTTGGATCAGCTTGGGGTCCACCATGTTTTTCGATATGATAAATTTGATACCTCGAGTGCCGGAGCCTGGGGATGATCGAACCCCTTAAACCTGGAACGCCAAATATGAACAGTATGAAGATATCACTGCTTGGTGGTGCAATAAAATAACAATCTTGCAAAATGATGGACGACTCGTCAATGGGAAGGATGACATCCCAGACATAAAATGGAAAAATCAAAAGGTTTGAAACCACCAGCCAGATCAAGTGATGATTTTGCAAGTCAATCGACAATTTCCTAGATGGCAGCATTGAGCAGCATTGAGCAGCCCTGGAGACCTTAATCTAAGTTGAAAAAACTATATACTTCATATGGTAATTCATTCATATTTAAAAGGTCATATTTGTATTGGTAATGTCAGTTGTATCAAAGGTGATAATATGACCATCAAAGGTAACTAATCTAACTAATAAATATCTACATAATGTTTATATTTCCTATCGGATTAGATACCCCAGATCTACATATGTGAAGCTGATCCAATTTGCAACATTGGGATTCCCATCTCATTGAGTCATGGATTAACATACTCTGCTACAATACCAAGGGCAGGTGAAAACAAGAAGAACAAAAAAAACATCAACCAACTATTATTTGTCCACTGCATCCACATATGTTTGATGGTTTGAAGCTGTAAATGATGGTCAATGGTTAAATTCCCATTTAACAACCATATACATTGTTGCTTGTATATCTCGGATCCGGTATATTCCCAAGAAATATTCTCACTTCAACTCCCCACCAGATCCCCCATGGACCATGGATATCATCCCTCATTGGGGTCGGTCTGACCCTACCCGGCCTGGTAAACGTTAACAAAAAACTATATGGAAAGATCCACCATTTGTCATATCTTGTCATGGGAAAATACACTATTTCTATAGGCCATGGCTTCCATAGCTTTTTGTTAACGTTTACCAGAGGCTATATCGTGGCATTGGGTTTACCAAGTTGCAGCAGTACCAAAAGTAGCTGGGATCGTCTTCATCTGGCGCCACCAGCTTGTGAGAGCCAGGGGAGTTATAGAAGGCCCCATGCATAAAACACAGCAGCATCACATAGGAAGCACCTGGAGGTCAGGAGTCTCCAGAATTGAGATAGTGGTGTTTTCAAACATATTCCAGTTAGTATATACGACCCATATTGATATACAACTTATATGACTATGGTTTATTCATGGTTGAAACCAATGTCTATCAATGTCTATACCTGGGTTATTCAATTGTTTCTAGATAGTACTAGATGTTGTCGGCCACGCACTAACTGGGGTGCACATGCAAGGTCGTATCGAGGATCAAATACCATTGGCCCCTTCATTTATGATACACTCAACAAACACTCCATCTACCCACGAAAACTGACATGTTATCCCACTTTTACCAAATGTCTATGGCTACTTTGTGTGTCTTACCTAATATGAAGCCGCCAACAGCGCCACAGATTGTTGCCCTGTTGCCCAGGCCTTCCAAGTTAGCATAGCGGTGCCCATTGTTGCACACAGAGATGAATTGGATAGTCAAACCAATGGATAGCGCTGTGAGGCACACCAGTTTGCTCATGGTTTTGGAGCAAATGTGAATCTGGAAGAAGTGTTTTCGCAAGATGTACCTTGGATTGCTGCCATCCAGGCCACCATTAGTAAAAAAAACAAAAAGAACCACCCTGCCATCATTCCCAGCAGGGGTTTCCCCCTGCAGGCTGGATTCACCATAATGGGAACGAACATGTGTTAAATTTTCCCTCTTTGGGAAGTGAAATAATCAGCCAATGGGAACATCCCAGGTACTCCATGCACATCTTGGCTCTTAACTGTTTGAAGCCCAAATCACATTCCTCCTTGAGACGGCTATACTCTTCTCCAATAACCTGCCGTGTGCCGTGGCCAGAAGCAGATGTTTATCTGAGCGTTTTTGAAAAAAACAAGACACTTGAAGTAGCTATTTAAAACATTAGTAACATTAGTATATACTAAAATCGTTGAGTCATGGAGTAACATATCAAAATTCGATTTTCGTTTTAATCTTAATGATGTTTCTATGTATGAAGGTTGCAAGCAAACAGACCAGATGGATGGTTTTTTTTCTACCAGCAAATAATTGTGACTTTGTTTGGCTAAGATTCTCCAATGAAGATATTCAAAATGAAGACCGTGAAGAATGTCACCGACACATAGAGCAGGATCGCTTGAAGCTCGTTGTCGCTGGGTTCCGATGGTAGCCCCGCGGCAATCAGGGTCACGAAAGATCCGTAGAGCGACTCATCGAAGGATGAACGTCTCAGGGAAAAAAAGGCATGACTGAAGGCTGCAAAGGCAATCCTCAGGCTGTGAATATTGATGAATAATGAGTAGCGAAAAACAAACAAAGATCTGAAGTTAAGAGTATGAGCAACGACTTTTAATTGGTGCATGCGGAGGCAAGATTCAAGGAGTCCCCGCTACGGTACGTTTACAAACTTTGTAGCGGTAGCAAAATGCTTCTGGTGACGACCTCCTTTTCCAGCGCTGTCATGCTAGCGTGTCAAGAATCCCTACCTCGCTTTCGAGTCCGCTACATCGTTCTGAACCTGACGATGGATCCTATGCAAAACCTGCATACCGCCAAACATTACTTTAAATTGTTCTGAATAATTAAATGCGATTGATCATATGCATGTAAATAGATCGAAGCTTGAACTTGTTTCGCCTCAAGAAGAGAAGAAACATAAAAAAAAGGTTCCGGTTCAAGGACTGGCTAACGCCTACCTTCAGAACCTATGCCGCTTTCTGCAAAATAGCGCCAAACACAAACAGGTCTTTCAAACAAACAACTCTATACTTAAGACACACTTTGACATCACAATGGCTTGGTCTGAAAATATAACACCCCAAGATTTGATGGTTCATCATCATCATTTCCCCATCATCCTTGCATTATCAGACACATCCACATATGCGATGGTCCAAACATGAACATACAGTATACAGATTGTAGTCATCCGATGATTTTTGGGGGATTCCATTTCATAGCTACAGTATACCAAGCCCTATTTATGGGGGGATGACCATGCCCCATCCACTGGTTAAATCCTTCTTGTTGATGGTGAAAAAAAACAAGTTTGATACCTAGATCCCCAAGTTGGTTAGTTGAATATGTTGAATCAACATGTATCACCATGTTTGGCTAAATCACAATTTCTTAATGGTTAATCAGTCAATCAATATTGAATCATCGTGAATCATCATAACGGGCCAACAAAAACTGTGCCAAACTGTGCCAAACTGTGCCAAGAAGCAAGGTGATGAAGAGTACCGGCCCTAGGTTCTGCAAAATGTTGGTGAAAGGCTGCAAGGTACGACCGATGGGCTCGCAGAAACTGGCGAAGAGAAGAATGCGGGACCAATACCTTGATACAAAAAAGGTTCGACCCTCCGATTGTACCCCGTTTTTCATGGGGGTAAGCGCCATTAAAAATGACGTGTTTTCTGTATAACCTGTTTTTCCAGCTACTTGGAGGGACTAGGTATGTATATACAGTTATATACATATTATATGTATATATACATAATCATATAAAATTATATATATATATATATGTATATGTATATCAATATTATACATATAATAATATATATATATAATATTATATATATAATATTATATATAATATTATATATACAAGTGTATATATGGTATTATATCATAAGCCCATGTCCGCCTAACCACAAAGAAAGAGGAAAAATGTATATGGTTCCAGGTACAAAAAGATGGTCAGCAACATCACCACTTCGCACCTCCCAGGGCTCATGGCATGCTACCCAGCCGAGCACGACTACATTTCCACGATCATTGACCCTCCAAGTACCGCCCGAAAAATGTGATTATAGTTTAAACCCAATTTGGACTTTTTGCCATTGTTATGGCTACTTGTAGGGGCTAAGTATAGCTGTTGAAGGAAGACCTTCTTTCTAGCTAGCTATCCCCATTTCGGTCGCAGGGTGACCATAGCGATCAAGAGACTGCGGATCATACCACAAGTATGAGGGTAGAACTGCCCAGAAAAAGTCGTTGAAGTTCTCAAATTTCAAGTAGTCGCGAGCTTGGCCAATGGACGCATATCCATAAAATTGAACCCCTTCCCAAATGATTTCAACGACAGATTGGGCAGCCAGAAATCTCACGGAGACCACAATGACAGCAGATTGCATACTTTCTGGCTCATGGAGGTACCTGAAGCACAATCAACAGCGAGAAGTGACATGGCCCGTGTCATTTTTTTTTTCAAAATGTTGGGTCGAAATTCCCAGCTCATCACCGACCTTTGACTTTCAACTCTTATATGGGAAGGTTGATCGATGGAATATTGGATAATCTTGGTCAGCTGAGGGCCTATACAGATTGCGCCTCCGGTTAAAAGTTGGTTACAATCCCACATACTGATACATCAACCATAGATCCTGGTCATTGTAGTTGATGAATCAACCTAGAGTAATCGCCCAGAAAAATATCAAGCAATTGGTCAGTATCTTAGTAGGAATTTACTGGTTTCTACCTTTTCTGGGGTTCCTATATTTATATAGGTCTCATTACTCTCCAGTACCATCATTTGGAGGCCCACTGCATTTTTTGGCATCATTGCTGCTATACAAAGGTGCCATGTATGAAGATTCAACAAGATCAAAATCCAGAGATTCACGAGGCAGCGAACGAACTCCACTGGTCCCGCGTGATTTTCGAAAACATGCGCCACCAGAAAAGCCACACAGCCTCTGGGGCAGTTCGTGAATCCCATGTGAACGAACACAAAAGCATCCTGTACATGGTAAACTGTTGAATAGCCTATATGGTAAATGGATGTAAACGGCCCATTTAGTTCGATGACTTATTGTTTTTGACAGTTGAGTGATTTTCCATAGCTGTGGATTGCTCGTAGTTTACTGAAGGGGTATTTTTCGAGGCCGATGCCATGCTTTGACCCTCCAAGTACCTGGAAAAATTGGCTACATCAGGGCAATCTACCCATTGTATACCCATGATGTTCTGGGACTTTGGGCAATTCTTATGCGTACAAACGGAAGGTCTAAGTGAAAAAAACAAGATGGAAGCCACGAACCCGAATGTATTCACTGTCTTGGACTACGAGTGAAAACCTCTGCAATAGGAAAACAAACTTTTTTTTTCCCCACCTGCCAGCTGAGGGTTGTTAGATTTTATCAGAGCTGTTCTCCTCCTCCTCCTCCGCCTCCATTGCCTCCTCACCCGCCGCCTCCTCCTCGCAGTCCAGATCCCAGTGGGCACAGCCGGACCTCCACCGCGAGCTCCAGATCCCAGTAAGTTGCAGATCGCAGTGGGCACTGCCGGACCTCAACCGCGACTTCCAGATCGCAGTGGGCACTGCCGGACCTCAACCGCGACTTCCAGATCGCAGTGGGCACTGCCGGACCTCAACGGGAAGAATGTCAGAAAAGATGTCAGATAGAATGTCAGAAGCCAGATAGAATGCCAGAAAGAATGTCAGAAAGAATGTCAGAAGATATACCAGACAGAATGCCATAAGATATGCCAGATAGAGTGCAAGAAGATATGCCAGATAGAATGTAAGAAGATATGCCAGATAGAATGCCAGAAGATATGCCAGATAGAATGCCAGAAGGTATGCCAGATAAAGTGCCAGAATGTTTGCCAGATAGAATGCCAGATAGGATGCCAGAAGATATGCCAGATAGAATGCCAGAAGATATGCCAGAAGATATGCCAGGTAGAATGCCAGAAGATATGCCAGATAGAATGCGAGAAGATATGTCAGATAGAATGCCAGAAGATTTGCCAGTAACAAAATGTATAAATGTCATGGTGGGGATCACACGAAGTAAAGTAATTTCATGCATCGTGCGCGCATATCGTCTCAGCGAAGGCACCTGATCAACAGTTCACAAAGAGACAACTAACGCACAAAGACACGCATGGAAAACATCGCTTGAAGACAGTACACATTTCCCCTGTTACCAGTCTGCAGTGTGGAATGGAAAGTGTAGAGTGTGGAGTGTAAAGTGTGGAGTGGGAAGTGTAGAGTGTGTAACGTGTGGAGTGTGAAGTGTAGGGTGTAAAGCGTAAGACGTCGCACTACTACTGTGTACTACATTGCACACAGCACTTCCCAGTACTACTGTGTACTACACAGCTTGCAGAAACTACTTCCCAGTACTACTTTGTACAACAAAGCTTGCACAAAGCACTTCCCAGTACTACTTTGTACTGCAAAGTTTGCACAAAACCACGTTCCAGTCCTACTTGGTACTGCAAAGCTTGCACAAAGCACTTCCCACTACTATTGTGTACTACATTGCTTGCACAAAGCACTTCCCAGTACTACTTTGCACTACACAGCTTGCACAAAGCACTTCCCAGTACTACTTTGTACTACACAGCTTGCACAAAGCACTTCCTAGTACTACTTTGTACTACAAAGCTTGCACAAAGCACTTCCCAGTACTACTTTGTACTACAAAGCTTGCACAAAGCACTTCCCACTACTACTGTGTACTACATTGCACACAGTACTTCCCAGTACTACTTTGTACTACACAGCTTGCACAAAGAAATTCCCAGTACTACTTTGAGTACTAATTTGTACAACAAAGCTTGCAGAAACTACATCCCAGTACTACTTTGCACTACAAAGCTTGCAAAAGCCACGGTCCAGTACTACTTTGTACTACACAGCTTGCACAAAGCACTTCCCAGTACTACTTTGTACTACAAAGCTTGCACAAAGCACTTCCCAGTACTACTTTGTACTAGAAAGCTTGCACAAAGCACTTCCCACTACTACTGTGTACTACATTGCACACAGTACTTCCCAGTACTACTTTGTACTACACAGCTTGCACAAAGCAATTCCCAGTACTACTTTGTACTACACAGCTTGCACAAAGCACTTCCCAGTCCTACTTTGTACTACAAAGCTTGCACAAAGCACTTCCCAGTACTACTTTGTACTACACAGCTTGCACAAAGTACTTCCGGATCCCAGTACTACTACAAAGCTTGCACAAAGCACTTCCCACTACTACTGTGTACTACATTGCACACAGTACTTCCCAGTACTACTTTGTACTGCAAAGCTTGCACAAGGCACTTCCCAGTGCTACTTGTACTACACAGCTTGCACAAAGCACTTCCCAGTACTACTTTGCACAGCAAAGCTTGCAGAAACTACTTCCCAGTACTACTTTGTTCTACAAAGCTTGCACAAAGCCACGTTCCAGTACTACTTTGTACTACAAAGCTTGCACAAAGCACTTTCCAGTACTACTTTGTACTACACAGCTTGCACAAAGCAATTCCCAGTACTACTTTGTACTGCAAAGCTTGCACAAAGCACTTCCTAGTACTACTGTGTACTACAAAGCTTGCACAAAGCACTTCCCAGTACTACTTTGTATACAAGCACTTCTCAATGCTACTTTGTACCACTTTGTACAACAACTGGCATGACAACCTGCTCGGAAACCTTGGAAAAGGAGAGGTTTTGCAGCTTCCCCTATAGACACAGCGACGCCACAGGAAAACCAGAGACTCGAGACGAGACACGTGGGCGCAGCAAAATGAGCCTTCCTCCAATTTTGACACTTTCGACACGTTATCAAACAGGTTGGAATGTCACAAAGTGCCACGCCTGCCACGCAAAGCGACATGACAACCTGCGTGGAAACCTTCAAAAAGGAGAGGTTTTGCAGCTTCCCCCATAGACACGGAATTAACGACCCGACGACGACGCGACGACGACCCGACGACGACGTGACGACGACGCGACGACGACCCGACGAGCCACTCGAGGCGAACAAGGGTCCAGCCCCCAGACCCCAGGACTATAAACGGGAACCCTTTGCTACGCATTCGGGAAAAGTGTACACAGTGTACGGCTACACAAACCATCCAGAAACGATTGCCAAAGATCTTGCAATCCGTGTCAGAACTTGCAAGCGCAACAAAGAGCTGTGGTGAAATCAAATCTCGGATGTGGCATACCCGGATCTCAGGTGCTCGAATAGGGCGACCAAATTTGGTGTTGGTCAATGTCTGGTGCCAAGCACTTTTCCATCCACGGTAGTGCCATGCATCGTAGCCTAGGAATCTCTTGCAAAAGTCTCACTTTCCCGGGACAGATCAGCTGTGGCTTGTGAACCAATGAATTCCGCTGCGCCGATATTTTACTGAGCTTGCTGTAAAAAAGTGGAGGCCCCAGCAATGTGTTCCATGATAATCTCGTTTTCCAACCCGGTGCTTGGTCTTTAAAGAGTGGTCCCTCCTTGTTTTGCACCCAAATCTGAGGGTGATTATAAACCTTTCAACCCGAAGACAACTGCACCTGTCTGCACATAAAAGCGCTTGCGCATGTACATTCTGCGTTTGCATAGACATGATTATAGACATGCACATTTTGATGTACAGTACAGATGTATATCATAGCTACAGCATCTGAAACTATGCCAAGAGTGTATGTTTGTGTGTGTGTGTCAAAATTTGCCCGCACCGAAGGTGCCGAGGCGTTTGTTGTGTGCGCGCATAAATCGGAAGCAGTTGCAAAATATAGCTATTCAGCTTTAGCTTTGGGAGGGCATTTTTGCTCTAGGCCGGTGCGTTTTTCCACGTTTTTTAAGCCCAACATGGCCACAAAATCGGCCACAAATAGACCGTTTTCTGGTCTTAACATGGACCCAACAGAGCAGCAAGATAGGCGTAAAATACATCCAAATGACATAACGTTGCCTGAACAATGTGCTCCAAATCCGCTCCCCTTCACCTGATAGATTTTTCAATAATTACCAATAATTTATGGTAACAAATAATTAATTAAATTATCTAATATGCTCACATATGTCAATTTGTTCGAGAATAATCGACGCAGCCAAAGAAACCTGAAAAACCCAGGAAAAATATTTAGGTGCATGTTTGTCATGTTTACGTCTTGGATCCAACCTATTTTCAATGTTATGGGGAACTCCGGAGCTAGTACTCCGGTGCGGGCGGTTGTCGTCACGAAGCGACCAGAATAGTGCCTAAACGGTTTCATCTAACCCAAAAAACAATAGTGGTTCCAAACTCCAAACCATAGAAATCCAACACCATGACCGAGATGCTGTCAAGAACTGTAAAGACCTCCACAGACCACATCCCACGATTCAGCATGTTCCACACCGCTTGTTCGTAATTGCGAGCAGCAAAGCTAACCTGCTTTGGAAAAAAACCCAAAAAATGGGATTCACATTTTGTATCATCCCAAATATTTGGGATCATCATTCCTAAATCTTGAGGGAAAACAAACGAAACAAACATATGAACCACCGACCAGTAACATTCCTAGGCAAAGGATAGTGTTCCTCATCGCACAGAGGCCTTGTCGTGGCACAATCCAAAATGCTCTCAGCTGCCGACACCGACTCCCGCAAGACCGCTGCAACGTCCAGACTGGTGAGATTCGCTTGCTGCAAAACGTCCTTTAGGATCCCAAGGTTCTTCATTCGCTGTAAGAAGAGTGGAACCGCCTGGCAAAAAGTTCGCTGTTTTTTTTGCCAACTCAATGTAGTGTATCTTTTCCTGGATAAATTTCATCGCATTTCACCTCCAAAGTTCAACCATTGGGGATCATTTGGGGATGATTCGAACATATTCGAACATATTCGAACTATGATATTGGGGAATTACCTGTGACGTCGCATGGGGTTGGGCCGCAACATCATCGATCCAGAGCATCCTGATTTCCCTTTATGTGAGTTTGACCAAAAATCCGGTAATGCCAACCCCTAAAATCAAGATTTTTGCTACAGTCCTGTGGCCTCCGGGCAGTCCTTCATGAATAACTTCAAAGAGTATGAGGATGGCTCCGCGGACAGCACCAAATCCTTCATTTTCATGGTGGCCATCTGGATGGCCAGCGTGAGGGGTGCTTGCAGCTCGATGGAGTTCAGATCTTTCTCGCTGGTGGCACCAGCAATATCTGCTTCGGTTATGCCTTGCTTTTTCATGAAATGCCTCACTAAGCAAATTAAGGAGGGATTTCCAGCCATGGCGGCGAAATGTAGAGGATGCTTCCCGGCTGCAGTGCAGGTGAGTTCGGTCTTCGAAAGGAGGAATTTGACCACAGCCTCCAGTCCTCAGCAACTGCTGCACAAGACCTTCGGAAGTTCCATCAATTCCTCTTCCAAAATTATTCCGAAGATCTACAGATATATCGTATACTAACATAGTGAAACTAAAAAAGATGCAATACTCCAATCCTATTTTATCAATTTTGATACTATTTTTATCATGTTCCAGCCAGAACCCCACAATTCACCCTGACATCAGTCCTGGACCATCTCCCAGAAGCGCAGCGTGAAGAACTCCGCAATAGGCCACGCCGTCCTTCAGCACGGGGGCCTCCAAAGAAGCACGATGTGCCTGACATGGGCGACATGGGCTGGTTCAAGGAGATCAACTTCACAGGTGAGCAGCAAACATGGGGATTTCGTTGGGATTTAATGGGATTTAGTACTGACATGAAATGGAATCTTAAACGGAATTTAGTCAGCTAAGTCACTTTCACACCAATATTTAACTGTTGGGCGTATGGGCGGTATATTGAGCACGATCGAACTATAAAAGTTCATAGGGGGTATGCAACCAACAAACATGACTGGGGGGCTCAGTTTTTGGTGTGAAAAAGGGATACTGATTCACCGTAGATTTACCCCCGACAAAACTTACAATGGGCATGATGTAAAGCAAAACATGCGGCGTTTTCATAAAACTTGGGACGGAATGGGATAGCATACTTTCAGACAAAGCCATTTGAGAAAGCAGAACAGCACCCATGAATTATGCTTCCGAGACAACCAGGGAAGTAGAAGATGGCTACCTGCAAACCAGGTTTCCTAATTGAACATGAATTCATGTGCTCATTGTCTACATTGGATATCACAAGTGTGAATTTCAGAATCTTCACTCCACCTGGACACTTCATTTATCCATCAAAATCGCGAAAAACTGACCCCATGTTTGAGTACTTTTCCCCTTTTTTCCGTGGGCACGTCACACACTTCCATCACTTTTTGTGTCTTGGTAGCACACTTTTTTCGGTGCCACCAGGTCGCTAGCAGATCTTTCAGGATTTCTAGATGTCCCCCAGAGGCTGCTGCATGAATGGCTTCCCCCGCCAGCTGAACATGGGAGCTGATCGGACTCCCTCCAGAAAACTGGGGTGTCCTTAGCCATGCATAGCCATGGGGCTGACCCAAACATCCATTAGAATATATTGGAATCCATGGGGCCAATGGACTATCAATTTGTGTTCATTCTTTTGGTTGCACCAAATATTTGACGATCATGGTGAATCATAGCCCCAAGTGATGCCCAAATTATTCGAAATCCTTTTGTGTAGCTTGGAACATGTTGCCTGTGTCAAGTTGCCCTGAAGTGCATGGTGACAGTTCACAGTCCAACATGAATCTGTGAAGAAACACTGCTGTCGCTTCGATCACAAGACTGAAATTGCCTGAAATGCCACCTGCACCAAATGTGGTCAACATATCTATCATGCCGTTTGAAAACTCTTAGTATCTCCAAACGCCTCCCCATTATAAAGGAATGTTATGGATACCTATAACATCCTATAACTCCTTAGCTCCCACCGTATAGATATTACTGCACCAGTGATGGGGCTTATCAGCCGCCAAAGATCCATGCAGTCTGACAGGAAAAAGGTGCTCTGCAAAGGTCCTGTTCAGCAGTCGCAGTCGACTGTGAAATTGGGTCAAACTATTTTCAGCCAGTACGTTTATAACCAAATGGAGGATTCCTAAAATGGGGGTATCCCTAAATCATCCACTTTAATAGGATTTTCCATTATAAACCATCCATTTTGGGGGATCCCCCATTTATGGAAACCTCCAAATAGATCCAAATAGGGGGATGTCAGTAGTTGCCACTTGATCATCTACAGTAATTAATCCAAATCTACCAGTTGGTGAAAATTATCAACACAAGGCCTCACAGCTCACAATTTGTTTTCCGTTAAGTGTTAAAAGACAATAAAAAAAAACTTCTACAGTGTAATCAGTTGTAGATAACTTTCCCATGAATTATCTTTTGACTTGCCCCAAATCATCCTAAATTACAGTAGACCATTAACCCACGGTTTTGGGGCCGGCTACCCCCATTTTAGGAAACCTCTGTGTAGTATGATTGCTGATTTACCCCATAAAGAAACATCACCTTTTCACGCCCTTGCCATCATTGGACGCTTCTTTTTGTTTAGAGGATCTCCCCTCCTCTGGATTGGACGTTGACCTCAAAATCCGCACCACTTCATCTCGGTCACCCTCTGCGATGGCCATATGAAGCGCGTTGCCTCGCAATCATGGCTTCTGGGGGATAAACATGGATAACCTATGCCTATTACGTAGTCTACAATTCAACCAGATTATAGTACTAAAAAAGTCCACTTACGCCAACATAAATTTGCAAGTTCTACGTTGGAAGACAATTCTCAGGGTTGAGCTGTTAGTTGCAGGGACTACTTGAACATGTCCGAACCATGATCCATATGCAAAAGGAACAAAGTTAAAGCAGTAGAATCATTGGAAATCCTGCGGGATTGGGGACGTTGGCGATGGGGACGCAGTTGGAGAATCAATGAATACAAATTGATCTGTCCTCCCGTGAATTGTGATAAATCCAAAAGGCATCTTGTGTGTTTACGTCAGGTGTTTTCAGAGTGAACTTCTGGTTTTCGAGTGGGGGCCAGTGATTGCGGCTGGATGGTATTGAGGTGGTTGGGTGGAGGGGCCTCTCTGCTGCTAAGAGCAAGAACACTGACTTGCACAAACTGTCCCAAAGTCCCAAAGCATCAACAATCCGTGTCTAAGCATCTTGAATCTTTATAATCTATACCAGTAGTACCGCACAAGGCGGTGGCGGAAGTTTCAAAAATATGAAACCTTAGGAGAGGTTGGCTGTTGTGAATCACGGATGGCAGAGCGAACCGATTGATGGACCGAAAGGTGGCTGAGGCTCTAAGTCTCCTCTCTTTCTCTCTCTTTCTCTCACTATCCATTTACCTACCTGCCTACCTACCTGCCTACCTACCTACCTATCTATCTATCTACCTGATGATCCCTCTATCTTTCTACCTTACCTTTCTATCTACCTATCTACCTATCTATCTATCTGTCTATCTATCTATCTATCTGTCTATCTATCTGCTTGAAAACGCAGCTATTTTGCAAGACCTCCGCAATTTTTGAACGTGACAACGTCAAAAACGAAACAATTCTGCGAGACTTCCTCAATTTTCGAAGTTGACGACATCAAAAACGAAACAATGCTGCGAGACTTCCTCAATTTTCGAAGTTGACAACATCAAAAACGAAACAATTCTGCGAGACTTCCTTCAAAAATGGGAAGTTGAGTGGAGAGCTGACGGCCTCGTACCAATGCGTTTTGCGATTTTTCCACACCGCCTGTCCAAAGTACTGCGCCTGCCACGAAAAACTGATGCCAGGTCATATGAAGTGCCGCACCTGTCACGCAAAATCATCTTCCCAAAACTGCTCCAAAATGCAACCCCTCTCAGGAAATCAGCGCCCGGACCTCCCACTGTAACAGCTCTGATGAACATGTCTCTTGTACCGCGCCTGCCACGGAAAATGCATCTTTGCAGATCCTCTTCAAATGCCCCATACCTGCCATCATTTTTGCAAATGCCACAAAACCCTCACATTTTGCTCACTTTTGACAAGGTGCACAATCCCTTGCGCCTGCCACGCGAAAAGACATCTGAATGTCCAAAAGTGGTCCCGACATGAGGTGCTTTGTACATTTTGACTTGGACATGTGCTTCGCGCAACAACGCCGCGCACTTTTTTCGACATCGCAACTTCTAAACGTGGTCCGACGTTGGTGTGCTTTGTACATTTTGACTTGGAAATGTGCTTTGCGCCACAACAGCGTGCACTTTTTCGTCCCATGGTGTTTTGTACATTTTGACTTGGAAATGTGTTCTGCGCACTTTTTCGACATCTCAACTTCTAAAAGGGCTCCGAAGCTGAAGTGTTTTGTACATTTTGACTTGGACATGCACTTCGCGCCACAACAGCGTGCTATTTTTCATCTCTCATCTGGCCAGCTGGCTCTGCACCCACCGCTTTAGCGAGCCTAGTTTTCGACCCTCCGGAGCCACAAATCATTGGAAAAAACACAGTGTTTCGCGTCTTTCCTACCTTTTCGCGCACTTTCTTTGGAGACTTTCTCTTTTGGATCGTCTTTCTTCTTCTCTTCTCTTCTCTTTTTGATCTTCTGTCTTCTTCTCTTCTCTTCTCTTCTCTTCTCTTTTTTATCTTCTTTCTTCTTCTCTTCTCTTTTTGATCTTCTTTCTTCTTCTCTTCTCTTCTCTTCTCTGACTCTTTCCATCTCTGCTTTTCATCTGTCCATATTGTCGGAAGTTTGACTTCTAAACTTCCTTCGACAATCTGTGGTGAATTTCACTGGTTGAATCATTGTGGGCTTGGTGCAAGTGATTTTGATCCTTGGTCCATTTGCTCCAGGGTGCCACAGCATGGTTTGGAGTTCCACACAAACTCCCGCAGGTCGTTGCCATTCCAAGGCTTCCGAGTCCGGGGGTCGCCGCTAGACCCTCCAGTCTCCAACAGCGTCCGAGTCCGGGGGTCGCCGCTAGACTCTCCAGTCTCCAACAGCGGAGCAGTGTCGCAATTCATGGAGAGTTCTGCAGCGGCTCCGAAAATTCCGACGTGAAAAGAAATCGATGATCCAAGTTGTTCCATTTGTTTCGCATCATCAGTGGCACAATTTCTTGAACACGAGCCCATATAGATTTCATAGATCATGTCGCACTTTAATGCCATATATGAGAGGGAAGGTCTGCGTGGGAAAAACACATGTTCATGGATTCATGGATGACAGCGATTTGTGCCACATTGGATTGCCTTGTCCATATCATTGAATCTCCCATCAAGTCTATGCCTATCGCCTGGGCCAAACTTTCAAACCTGCGGATACCAAGTGTATCTGTTGATAGCAAAGCACCGCAACAGCTGAACGCCAGGAGAAACCCCGATGATATTCATATTTCATCAATGCTCACACGCACATACACGCCCACCATTTACTATTTCAATGAATTTTGCATTGAGAGCCTTCAGTAAGCTTGAAACTATAGCACTGAGATGGTCCAAATTCCACAAGTCTAGCAAACACACAGACTTTGCAGAATCACAGGCAAACGCACGACAGAAAACGCCTCCAAACATACCAGCAACACTTGCGAAAGCCAGCTGTACAAAAAAAAATGCAAATTCCATTGTGATCATTCCGCTGCAAAAATCTGCTCATCTTGCATTATTATGCATTTTTTTGCAAACTTGCAGGTAGGGCTAGCAAGGTGTTTCTTGACTTTCTGATTGGTTCTACACATGAAATTCTTTCGGAGCCAATCAACTATAACTTTTTGTACGTATCCCGAGATACTCTTCTTATTTTTGAAATCTTGTCTTTCTACCGCTTTCAGGCACCATTCATGAGTTTCAGGTTTCAGGTGGCTCCATGCTGACCTCAAAGCCAGGATTGGAAAGTCATGGCCCGTCCGTGGGTCTTACCCCACGCGACAGGACAACGTGGGGGGAAGGGCATGGCTGGTCGTGAGACGCAGCGACGGCAGGGGGCTCTGCGTCATCGACGTCGGAAAACGGTCACCGCCAGCGAACTGCCACACGAGAAAACGGCTGTCTTTCCTAAGTAAAATTGGGGGCTGGAAAATCAAGCGTCAAGCACGCCACTGGAAAATCAAATGAGAATCAAAAACGAATTGATCAATCTTCAAGGTTCTCACATTTTCCAGTTCCCCTCCGGAAAGACGCGAAAACGGACTCAGTTCTTTGGTCTTCACAAGGTGGCGAAAACATTGGAAGACGTGCACGCGCGGTTCATCACCTGACGATGGTCATCGCATCTCATTTCAGCGCGGTGTTCCAGATTCATAGTTGTATGGAGGTCAGGCAATATTGTGTAACAAAGATTCAATGCTGAAACATGAAAGATCGATGCCTCTGTCTTCACCCAACTGGGTCAGCTACTGCATATCAGCTACGGCATGGGTTTGGGGTCCTCCGTTTTACGAACAACTACTGTACCCCAAAATCATCCGATCAAATCTGGTGGCATTTTTCCTATCAGAAGATTAGGTGACTAGGTAACAAGCCCAATTATATACACGTATCACATACATATCAGATACATATCATATATATATAAATATATATATATCACCTTCATCTCACATACATCTCACATACATCCCACATACATATCACATACAAATCACCTACATATCACATAAATATGACATGCAAATCACGTACATATCACATGCCCATCACATGCCCATCACATACAAATCATATATATATATATAACACATATCACATGCAAGCCACGTACATATCACATGCAAACCACATACACATCAAATAGAAATATGAAAAAACAACAAATAAATATATTACATGCATACCACATGCAGATCACGTACATATCACATGCAAATCACATACACATCAAATAATATTAATATATATATATATCACACGTATCACATGCAAATCACGTACATATCACATGCAAATCACATACACATCGAATATATATATATATATATCACACGTATCACATGCAAATCACGTACATATCACATGCAAATCACATACACATCGAATATATATATATATATATATACATATATATATATATATAAATCACACGTATCACATGCAAATCACGTACATATCACATGCAAATCACATACACATCGAATATATATATATATATATTTGTATATATTACGTACATACCACGTGCAAATCACCTACATATCGCATGCAAATCACATACACATCGTATATATATATATGTCACACGTATCACATGCAAATCACGTACATGTCACATGCAAATCACATACACATCAAAAAAATATATGTATTACGTACATACCACATGCAAATCACCTACATATCGCATGCAAATCACATACACATCGGAAAATATATATATATATATATATATATGTCACACGTATCACATGCAAATCACGTACATATCACATGCAAATCACATACACATCGAATATATATATATATATACACGTTTCCCGGAAATTTTATGAAGAAAAAAAGGTCTAACTTAGACAGGCGGGGCCTCCAGGGATTTGCTGGCCACCATGGTCTCCACACTCACAGCACGCAGGACCTGTGAAAAAAGCCACCATGTTGAACGGAAGAAACAACGATTTATTGAGGGAAATTATATACTTAATATTTATTTGATTATCATATGTAAAATGAAATGATTTAGAGATCAAATATCTAGTTATATATGTAAAATAAAATGATTTATACATCTAATATCTAGTTGTATGTGTATATATATATATTATGTATATGCTATGTTAATTATACATGCAATATACCCTAACAATCATCAGTCATGATAAAACTGGAGTTGGATTAATATATTGATTTGTATACTCCAATTTAGTCAGGGAATTCAAATACTTCATATATACATATATAAATGATGATATGTAACATACATGTATGTATGTATGTATGTATGTATGTATGTATGTATGTATGTATGTATGTATGTATGTATGATGTTTGATAATTACAATAAATATATGTATATGTATATTGTTTTGCCATTTTGGTATAACATTGTAAAACCCATCACAAATGGGGGAATTGGCCAAGTGATGTCTCGTTTTCACCAGCAAAAGAAAAGTCAAGTCAGTGGAGTATCGTTTGGGAAACACTTTGGCGGCTGAGTCCAAGAGCCTAGCGATTTTGGGATGTTTTTGTTTTTTTTAATTGACTCATGCCCATAGGTGCTCTCAGCATCTCTCAGCATTCAAACATCCCATGGAGCTCTTCAAAATGGTGGTTTGCCGTTCAATTCTTCGCAATATCAGGAACAATCTGTATATGGATGATCAAAACCCATGTTCACCGGGCACCTCTTCCACGGAGATGGTTCCCATTGCCTTGGACTGGAGAATTCAGTGAGTTCTGACGGAACAACACACATTTGCACTTGGATTGAGGCAAAATATATTGATTAAGCATCCAACCATATCCAATCCCAAGACTTTGATAAACAAAAATCTGATTTTGGTTGTGTGATGTCATGCGGTCAGTTTGACATGCATTGTACGTTGGTGTGATTCACTCTCGGGGGCTTCAAGAAACCGACCACAACCACTCATCCCTCGCTAGAAAGAAACACTGGAAACATGAGGGAGGCCTGGAATTTTGCGTGAATTCATGGAGAACCAATGTACATATATATATATATATGACGTCCCTCCTCTCTGACCTCAAAGCGCTCAAGCGCGCCATTTTCCTCAGACCACAACGCAAGTTGTCTCGAATTGCAGCTTGATGTAAAGGCACGGCATCTTCCCAAGGCGGCAAAACCAGATGCTGGCTGTCAAAATCAAGCAGTTGCGCGCACAGAGATCCAAAAAGGGTGGGGGTGAAGCCCAGGGCGGGCCTGTTGATTCTGCGGTCAACCCGAGTCATGAGTCATGGTGAACATGACGTCCCTCCTCTCTGACCTCAAAGCGCTCAAGCGCGCCATTTTCCTCAGACCACAACGCAAGTTGTCTCGAATTGCAGCTTGATGTAAAGGCACGGCATCTTCCCAAGGTGGCAAAACCAGATGCTGGCTGTCAAAATCAAGCAGTTGTGCGCACAGAGATCCACCTATGCTGCAGGCCTGAGTGAGGAAAGCAAACACGAGGTGCTAGCAGGGGGCTAACAGTTTGCGGTCCAAGGGCGGTCCTCAGGTGCACTTGAAGGCTCCAAGCGACGAGTCAAAAAGAGCTGCTAACAGTTGAATCATGTGCCTAGAATGAGGAGAGAGTTTGCCAACAAAGGTTTGACAGGCCACTTCCTGTACGTAGTTTTCCAGCGTCCCTAAGTGTTGGATCCGCATTCTCCACAGCAGATTTGTGAGGTTTGCTGAACGCTGATATTCATACACCGCGCCTCCCGCACGCAAAGACCCTGGAGTGAGATTATGTTCTTTCAAGATCCCTAGGTGCTGACAGATTGCATTCCATCGTCTTCTGAAACTGCTTTCGGAGATGGGATATAGAAGAGCATCATGAGGGGTCTGACCGAACACTTTACGCAAAAAGTTACAAATCTCTTCAGAGTCTATGGAAGCATGCTGGATTCTACCTTTACCCCTTCTACGTGACTTCGGCTCTCGGATTCGGAAGTAGACTTTGCTAAGCTGATCACTAAGGAGGTCTTCTGGCAAAACTAGGTCAGCACGTGTGCCACGTAAAACTTCTCCAGGACGAGTTATTCCATAAAAAGCTAAAACTATGGCACCAGCAAATCTAAACCACTTCCAACTCAGCGCAACCATGGTCATAGACTTTAGGACTCCTAAAGGCAAAGGGACACGATGCACTGGTGGTTCTACCAATTCCCATTTCTGAATGAGATCCCAGCAGATCCCTAGATACGGTCGAACTTCGATCTGACTTTTCTGGATATAGACAACCAAGTGGCGTAGAATATACAGTGACTTGCCGGTAGAGAACAGATGGTTGCCAAACTCTTTGACAAGCATTGCGCACAAAACTGGATTCTGTCGAATACTGCTGGCTGCGTTTCTTCCAAGTTCTCCATTGCTCCATTGGACAAACCATTCCCAGATTTTGCTCTGCAGGGCCTGAGTTCTTGCTGAAATCAACGAAACGTTCTCCAGCAGAAAATCACGATTATGCTTCGGTCCTGGGTTCAGGGCTTCTCCAATCCTAAGGGTATTGCATCTTGCGAAGCAACTGGAAGAAAACTTGGCAGGCTTACTGATTATGTTGGCACTAATCATCATGGCTTTACTGACGGTCTTAACAACCCCTTTTGGATAGGCTTGGGCTACCAGCGTCCAACTTTTACGGTGGAAGGGGCTTCTGCCTCTAAGCAACAGGTGGCGGTGTTTTTGGTTGCAGCAGGTTTTGCTATCCTTTATTAGCGAGCTGGTGAGAAACTTAGTCCTCTTCCGCCAGGCAGTACCAAACCTGCAGTAGTCACAAATCCAAAAACCGCACTTCCCCAAGTATTTTTCCAAAAAGGCTTTGAAGATTGGTTGCTTAAACATCCAACTTCCAGCAGGGTTCTCAAGCCAGAAAATGATATCCATGCCAAGACACACGCAAAGCAAGGCTACCAGCCAGGCAACGCTAGAGTTGCCTTCCAGAACTTTCACTTTCATCTTTTCACTCATTTCTGGAATACCTTCAGGATGGAGGCTGGTCCTAACAGGTGGAGTGATAGCTACTGAAAAACTGGCGCAAACAGGTGACGCACCAACTCCCCAAAACAGACCTGCTTGGGTTACACTGGTGATGTCATCCCGCAGTTGCTCATCACTGAGGTCTTGTCCAATCCCGTCCAGCAGTTCAAAGGTTGCACACCAGCTATGGCAAGCTATTTCTTTGGCAATTCCTTTCTCTCCGGAGTACAAATCAAGGTAGCCGGGTCTACTGGGAAAAAACTGAGACTCAAATTTTGAATGGAATTGGTTGACATCTAGTCTTCTAAGAAACCGCACGCAAGTCTCGGCTTCCGCAACAGTCATCTGGTGATGGTCGCAGCTGAACGCTGCCAAGAAATTCGCTACTGCAGCTTCTAGACTTTTCGCATGTGGCAAACTTTCGGCGTGGTCTGTCATTCTTGATCGGCATGCTTCTCCTGTCTTCGAGGGCACTGGGAGCGAACTGTCATCCCAAGCAGCCGGAAACGATTCATCATAGGAGCCCCCGGGAAAATCAGAGCAGGCTCGGCTCTCTACGAACGGAGCAGTGCTATCTGAAAAACATGTGGTCTCACTGTACAATTCAGAAAAATCAGGGAGTCCGGAAATGCTTTGAAACCCTAGTCCATTGGCCTCTAGCCATGCATCAAATTTCTGAAACTCTTGTCGTTCAAGAAGGGGCCACCAAAATGGCGGCGCTTCAACAGCTTCCCGAACAGCTTTCCCTCGGGTTGGGTCATCTGCAGGATTCAAGCTGGTTTCAAAATACATCAGCTCGTCGTACAGTTCCAAACCAAGCATATTGCCTAGAGATTTTGTCAGCTCTCGGTTTAAAGCAGCACTACTACTGCGGCCCTTGCAAACAGCACCTAGGACAACTTGGGAGTCCAGGCCATAAAGTTCTCTACTGCAAGGCTTTTCAAACCCATTTATGCTTTCCATCCGGAGGAACGCTCGAAGCTCTCCTATGTTGATGTGTCTTCGGCTCTTCACGTGAGTGGCAAAAACTCTGCGGTACTGCAAACTTCTGGCAAGACACTCCCACAAAGGATTAGTTTGAATCGGCTCTTCTCCTTCAGGCAATTCTTCTAATGGGTCTAACAAGCCTCTTGCTCTGAACCAGGCCTTGCCAGGTGGAAGCAACTTTGACCATACGCTCTTCTTCAGGCTATGTCGGCAAAGCTCCTGCGCGACAGCGCAAGGGATTGTCGCTCTAACCCCAGCTTCTGCAACATCTGAGGCATCAGTGGCTGAAATCCTATTCCTGAACTGCGCACGCAAATTGGTACAGGCAAAAGGAAGTAAAACTACCATCATCAGGAGCTCACCTAAGGCCCTACCACTCAGCTTGACGATTTCTTCGCCTTTGCGATCTACAGAGGATTGAAAAACTGCGTCCATCAAACTAAGCAATCTTCTGCGGTAAAGGAAAAGAGAGACCAAGGAGCCGCAAATGATCTGGAGGAGTTCAACTGTGCTGTGTCCTAGTTGGCAAACTCTAAGCACCAGTCCGGCCAAAGGAATGGCACGGCTCAAGGTGCCGCGGCACAGCCCGCGGTCTCCATCAAAATCACTTCCCCAAAAGGTGGCTTTGGTTTCGTCTCTACATGCTTTTTCTTTGTTTGGGATGAGTTTCACTGTTGCATACGTGTTGTACATCCTATCAGCTTCGGCAGCACTGGCACTCGGCAGTATAGCTTCTCTACTCACCTCAGCCAACGACACAAAATCATCGATCACTATCCCAGTATAGTTTGGCCCTCTGGGTATCTGTCCAGACAAAGTCAAGAGTTGGTCGCTTCTGACACCGCTGCGGAGGGCCAGGCTTAGATGACAGGTCTGCGCTAGCCCCACAGCTTGGCTATCTCCCATAGCAAGGGTGCAAAGTGACCCATACAACTTTTCTTCCTCCCAAAATTCTTCCCGGAAGCAACTAAAGGAGGAAGCCTGACTTGGTGTAATGGGCCCTGCTAGGATATTTTTACGTGATCGCTCTTCAGAGATTTTGAAAAGATAATAAAAATCCTTCAAGTCGTTGGAGGAGGTCAAGATCTTTCGATTCGGTGGGATGAACAATCTGCAGAGGCTCTCGCTGCTAGCTAAGGATCGCACCCAACGTTGTAGCGGTTGCTCCAAGAGATTGCTAGGGCGCGAATCTAGAATCAGCCGGTCATATTCTAAATTCTTCACAACTGAGAAAAGGCCCGCAGCAAACTTAGGCCGCACTGCAGACGGTGGATGCAGCGCCAATCTGCCGCTGTGGTCAAGGAGGTTAAACAGCTCCAGCTTTTTCTCTGGGCTGCAGTGCACCTGGACAAAAGGCACGGCTCCAACAAAATCGCCTGGGTCGAGGCTGCATTGCAAGGGGCTATTGTACACTTCGGCTGAAATAGGATCGAGAAAAGGAACTGGATCGAATTCAGGCCGACCTGTGAACTTTAATCGCGCAGGATCCACAGGCTTGAAAGTGCTGAAAGGGGCATGGTTCAACTGGCCGACTACCAAGCCCGCATCACTCTTGCTGCTACCTAGCTTAGGGCTCACGTAGGTTGTTGGGAAGTAGGCTTCAACCCCTAGCTTAGGCAGTTCTCTGGCAACCTGGCTGAGTTTCTCTAGCATTTCCTCAAGGCTCTCGACTTTTGGAGCTGTGCGCCCCATAGCACTAGGCCCGACTTTCTCACAGGAAATCCAGTCATCCAAAAACACTTCCAAACGACGAACAATGCTCCACTGGCTTTTGCTCAGTCGGTTTCCAGCTTTCAAATTCGCCGGACAGTTAGAAGGGCGTCCTAGGTGAAGATAGTTCAAGCAAATAATGCAACAGTTCATCATCTTTTTCCTAGACACTTCTTCTGCAGATGCCTTCCAACCCTTCCGGAAAGCTTCAGGATACGGCAAAGGCAGCGGGAAACCTTTGGAAGAAGGTTCTGTAAGAGCAACACTTGGCTCGGCAAGGCCTATGGAGGAACGTGCAAACCTACCAAAACCGCATTGAGACTTAAGCAAATTTCTCATCATGCTGTTAAAGATACTTCGACCTTCGTAAGTCCCAGCTGCGGCTCCTGGCACTCGGATTGCAGGCCGGGGTGGGGCATCACCATCTGTATGGTTGGCTGCACCTATTTTTTCTGCTTTTTGCTCGCCTCCGGCCAAGGCGAAATTTTTGGAGTCTGTGCCTTGTGAACCAGACAAATTTTTATATTTCAAGTTTTTGGAGCCTAACCTATTATGGCACGGCAAATTTTTATATGTAAATTTTTCTGAGCCTAGATAACATTGATCGGGCAATTTTTTATTTTTGGGCATTTTTGGCATGCAAGATGTTCCTACTGTACGGGCTAGTTCCCGGCATCGGCCTCTGCTGCATCCTCCTTCTTTCCCCCTCCTTTTCCCCCTTTTGCTCCTCCCTTCGCTTTGGCTTTGGCTTTCTCCTTTGCTGCAGGACGAGGGTCTGGCTGCTCTCGCTTGGTGTCTCTGCTCAGGCGTTTCTTGGCTTCTTGGTAACTGTCCATCTCTTTGACATGGCCCAGAAACAGTTCGATCCAGCGGCTGTCGATCAAGGCTGTGTGCTGTAGGTCTTGTGGCCCTGGCGGATGATGGCCTGCAAAGGAACTGAAGGGAGCTGATGGTTCCAACATCATGACATTGCTCAGTAGCCAGGACCCTTGGTCGATTGACGCCTGGTCCGCTGCTGCGACTAACAAAGCCGCTCGGGCTCTGGCCTGAGCAACTTCTCCTCTCATCAATGAATCCCAAATCCCTGCAACTGCCCATGTCCATCTCACATGAGACGTGTAGTTCATCAGGCGGCTCCTTGATTCCAGCCATCCTCTCGCGGTCGCGCCCGCTAGAGGGGTCCCTGGAGCAGCTGGACGACTCAGGAAGTCCGAAGCCATGTTGCTCTCTATGGACTTGTAGATGAGCTCCGGGTCCTTCACGAGGCTGTCTTTCAACAGCCTCAAAGCGGCTGCATTGCGGCGTGAGCTTCCCAACCCAGACCCGTCGCTGCTTGCACTTCCGGAGTCTAAAAGTCCTTCCAGACTCTTTTTGCTCGATCTGCTCTCGGCAAGGGCAGAGCAAACTTTCGTGAGCTTTACGATAGCTTTTGCTACACCACCATCTCCTGGGGACCCTGGCTGCATCTGGGCGTTCAAGGATTCTTCCACTTCGGCTTCCTCGTCTTCTGAGTCGGACAGATCGTCCAATTCTTTCGCCTTGCCACGGTTCGCTGGGATGTCGCCCATGCGGTTTGGATTCCTTCTGAGAAACTCTGACATCTCCCGCAAATGCTCTTCTGGAACCCCAGCAGCCAAAGCTGCTTGTACCACAGATCCATCCAAACCGGATAGCTTTGTTGACGGTTCCAGGATCTTCACTCGATCCGCAGGTCTTTTTGGAGCAGCGCCTGCAGGGCGCAGGGCAGATGGTCTTGCCTGACTGGGTCCAGGCAAACTTGCAGCTTTGGGGGATTCTAGCAAAACGGCTAAGCTTTTCTGAATGTCGGCAAGTGTGGATTCGACAGCTCCTAGTCTTGCTTCGGCACTTGGGGCTGCAGGACCTTTTGGGTCTGTAGGCGCACCTCCGCCCGATTCGGCACTGAAAAAGCTGAACCTTTCTTGCATCACTTCTACTAGACTCTGACTGTACGGGATGAATTCGGGCAAGGGAGAACTGAGAATAGGATAATCTAAGGCCATACGATCTGGAACATCGAAATCGATCGCTGCTGCAAGTGCGTCGGACAAGAAACCTATCCACACGCGCAAATTCACTGATTCGTCTTGCATATCGCGACTCTCTGGATGGCATCCTACCACTGAGCATAGGACAGGCCTGGCAAGGCCTCTCTGATCCAGCAATCTAGTATTGACCCGCCTGCTCCAAACTTCGGCAGGGAGGGCAACCAGGAGTTTGCCTTCGGCTTCTGTGATTATGATGACTTCGCACACACCACTGCCGGCAGCTAAAGGCAACTTCCCAGACTGAAAATAATAATTAACTACGTCGTTAACAACTACGTAGTGGTCTTGCATTCGCATTGGCTCTTCAGGGTCGAGGTCAATGTCAGCCTCGGCACCAAAATCAGCTTCTGCTTCCATGTCTACGGCAAGGTTGCCCCGGCCTCTGCAACTACAATCCTGGCGTCACTCAACGCTGGCAGTCCAATGAAAATTGAATCACCTAGATCACCTCTCTCGCCGCTGCACTCTGCTTTGGCTTCACTGAATCGATGGAACAAATTGCAAGGCTGAGTGAAAACCTCTCCACGATAGTTCCTGAACACCAACCACAGGCGGGAGCTCAGATTCAATCGGTTTCGGCCAGATGATCCTCTGTGTTCACCAGCAAGGGCCCTACGGATGAAACGGCCGATGTCTTTGCAAATGCCGGCACGGACAGCAGGATTCAGATGAGCTAGATCCTGAGGCAAGCCTTCTGGGAGAGGATACGGTCCTGTTTCCGAAGCAGCAGAAGCACTGGCAGCTGGGAGATCAGATGGACAACTCTGTTCCCCAGATACACGACTAACTTCCACGTCCAGTCTAAGTGCGCTCAGCTGATCAGTCAGGTCGTCCACACGGGCGGACAACAATCGAACTTCTTCCCTCAACAACCTGTTCTCCTGCTCTGCTCTGCGCAAACCAGGGGAAGACGTATTACTCATGTAACACTTTGTGCAAAGCTCGATTGCCGCTAGGTGTTTGGTTAACAACCAATCGCCCCAAAAGGAAGCGCCTCCAGCGCTCTTTCACCACCCACAGCAAATCCAGGACAAGGCCAAACCCCAGTCCTAGAGCAATACCAGAACCCAAAATAATCAGTTGTGAATAGTTGTCCCAGTCCAAATTCAGTTCAGGGCAATTGCACGTGAGATCAGGGATAGCAATTCCAGGTTCTGATTGAACTACCAAATGATGCAGAAGGCTGAGAATGAAGGTGGACACCGATCCGCCCGCTGCCCCTACCGCAAGCTGATTAGGCATTCAAGATTGAGCCTGTTGATTCTGCGGTCAACCCGAGTCATGAGTCATGGTGAACATATATATATATAGTTGTTCCACTTTATTCCTGGTATGGCAGATATGCGCACAGATATATCAAAAATGGGCGGAACGGATGATCCCAAATTGGATTTGTTTGGTGGTTGCCTGAATTAAGAGTGGTTTCTATACTTAGATTCGCTTCAGCGGAAGGCCATCAGAGATCGACATACAAAATATCAAAATATATCAAAATGATAGCTCGATTAGGTTACCAGTGTCGGGTGGTTTAACTAACTGACAAGAACATGCAGCAAATCGTCTTCAGCAAATCGGGTCAAATCCCATTCAATTCCAGGATGATTGAAGGTTCCAATCACGTTCGAAAACCCTGCTATTGGCCTAGAAAACGACTATCCGAAACGGAGACTGTTGGATCCGGCAGGTATTGACCACATTACCCCCCTAGTCCAAAAGTAATATCCAATTTCAACCAAACAAAAAATCACCTATTAATGCCCTAAATCGAAGTTTCTCTGACCATGTTCATGTCAAGTTAGGATTGATCATCCCCACCATATTAATCATAATAATCCTCCATTTTTTCATGATTTTCCCCTTAAACCCAACCATGACCGGCGGTAACCCCCCACCAAAAGCGAGCCACGGAAGAGCGCCTTCCGGCAAAGGGATACATGTCAGGCCCACGCCTTGGAGACGTTCACATGACCAGAATGAGAATCAACATCCAAAATCTCACATGTATTATAATATATAATACAACTGATGTATAGAGTAATTATGTATATATGGTGGTTGATCAAAAAAATCCTTTATCCGGGAACGGCCATTCTTTGCGAAAAAAGTTCTGTTTCGTGAATCTTTCGCGAACTCCATGCATCTCCATGTTTATCTGTCGCGGAACCGATGTTGAGCAACAACTTCTCTTTTGAAGATTCATTCACCACCTGCCAAATCACACCAAATTATCACGGATAACTTCTTCATAGCCTTGTAAACGTGCGGCTAGCATCACGGAATCCCCTTCTCAGGACAGGTTGTTCTTGATTAGGCGGATTTTTTTTGCAAGGCTTACTGGGCCACTCCCTTCAAAATGCTCTTTGACTTTCGCCCAGTCCTTCGAAGAACTTTCGCGAAAATATACCCTTATCCGCAGACCCCATGAGCCATCAGCAGGGGGCGCATCAGAGGAACCGCAAACACCAGGTGGCCTTGGCGTTTGGCTCTCGCAAAGCCTCACTTTTGGAAGCTTGGCTGCTGGATTTGGAGCTTGTTTCTTGAAACTTCAGAAACGCTAGGCAGTACCAGCAAAAGGTGCGAGGATGTGCTTCAAGACCATGGTATTTGGCTGTGGCGAACCCATACCTTCGGAAGCTTGGCTGCTAGCTGTGAAGGGAAAGGTAAATGTGCGGTACCATTCTCCTGCCGGACCCCGGGCCCCCGGGTGGCAGGAGGTGGTAGCCCTGAACAAGCTGTAATGTATACAATGAGAATGATTCGTAATATCCAACTTTCGCGGGACTTTCGCGAATAAAACATTCTCTTTCGCGAATTCGGAAAAAACTTTCGCGAGGGTTTCCAACATAACATGCACGGTTGTCGCAACTCAAACTCCTTACAGGGACCTTTAGATCAACCACCATGAATTATATATATACACAAAATCAACTATCTTATCCAAAAAACTATATATATATATGTTATATGTAGAATCTGAATATCATAAAATGATAAAACGAAAATAATGGTGGTGATCATCACCACCACGTTCAAACTGTTCAATGTGCTGATGATGACCATGATGATGATGGTTAATCTCCTGTCGTCGTCATCCTCATCATCCTCATCGTCCTGATCGTCCTCATCGTCATCATCGTCATCATCGTCATTGTCACCATCGTCATCATCGTCATCATCGCCCTCATCATCCTCATCATCCTCATCCTCACCATCCTCACCATCATCATCGTCATCATCGTCATCATCGTCATCATTGTCATCATCATATATTGTCATCATCGCCAGCGTCATCTCATCGTCGTCATTGTCATCTCATCGTCGTCATTGTCATCGTCATCGTCATCATCATCATCATCATCATCATCTTCTTCTTCTTCGTCATCGCCATCACCACCATCATCCTCGTCATCATCATCATGATTATGACTATCATGTTCTCTGATTCTCTGCCATGATTTTTCATTTCGTCTTACATCTTCGGGTCTGAATAATTATTCAATTTAATTACAAGCTTGCTTTCATCACTACGTCGGAGCGGAATGACTTGCAAGCCACTGACATCAACAACGACGACTACGGTGACTGTGTGTGTGATCGCTTTTGCTACACTTAAATGTCTACCAGCAAAAGGCAATCAGTTGATATTTCACCTGGTTTCCGCATCTTTCCATTGGATTCGCGACTTCACCTATCCCACAGCTATCAAGTTTTTATCCCAGAAACATACATAATATAGAATCATCCCGTCATTATCCCAGATTCCTTATTGGGGTCGCCTCAGTTCATATCGAGAAAACCCAAACTGAGCTGAAGACTGGCATTGTGCATTGAGGTTCACCCTACAGGTGCTCAGGGCACACCTGAACGGAGATACGTGGAGATCTACGGGGTCGACACCAGGTTCATAAGGCAAGAAATTTGAATGGAGAAAACCCGGTTTTCCCAACTCAAGCAATTCCAAGAATTGTGTCTTAAATATGTGTTCAATCTCTCTGAGCCAAACTTTGCCAAGGCATGGCAACGAGCTTGCGCCCGCACATATCCAAAAGTTGGGACAGCTCCACGCTTGGCGCGGCCTTGCAGTCGGGTCACAACGCCGAGCTTTGGATCTCAATGGGAATGGGGATGGGCCACAGCCATTTACAGAAACATTTTTTTATATTTTACAGATATAGATAGATAGATAGATGGATAGATAGATAGAAAGATACCTAGATAGATAGATGGATGGATGGTTGGATGGATGGATGGATGGAGGGATAAATAGATTGATAGATAGATAGAAAGAAAACATAAACAGATAGATAGATAGATAGATAGTTAGATAGATAGATAGATAGATAGATAGATAGACGGATAGATAGGTAGATAGATAGGTCGATATATAGATCTATCGATAGATAGATAGATAGATAGATAGATTGATAGATAGATGGATAGATAGATAGATAGATAGATAGGTAGATAGATAGATAGATGGATAGATAGATAGATAGATAGATAGATAGATAAATAGATAGATAGATAGATAGAAAGATAGATAGATAGATAGATAGACAGATAGATAGATAGATGGATAGATAGATAGATAGATCAACCAGTTGATAGATAGATAGATGCATAGATAGGTAAATATATGGATCGATACATAGATAGATCGATGGATCGATCGATCGGTAGAAAGACAGACAGATAGATAGATATCTCTCATGTTGGTTAGATGATACTACCTGTATATAGGGTATCATAAATGGTATCATATCATATATGGGCCAAATATGGCTAAATACTTGGGGGAGGATGATGTATACACAGCCCTTTTGACGTTCACTACACTTTAACAATATCCATAGCTGAGTATACGCGCTTGCTATCCAAATGCGTTCCAACCAACAATGGGTCAAACACAAATCATAAATACCAAACACCTAACATATAGTTGTTGGCAATGGATCTGTCTGAAACTAGGGCTATCCCACCCAATTGTTTTTCACGCCATCCGCCTGGTTGGAGGTAAAAATGGATGTCTGCTGACCAAATGGCATCCTTGGTGGGTCAATTCCAATGTGGCAACTCGGCAACTCGAAACACTTTTCAAAAGCAATGCAAGACTTGCACCGAACTGCATGAATAGAAAAATAAGATATAAGAATTGTGGAAATAGTGTGGGCATCAACCAGAATAAGGATTGCCAACTTCGGTTCTCTCTTAGGCCACCCCTTCAGCCCAAATTTGATTCGAGTTGATTCGAGTTGCTTCCGCAGCCACTCAATTGGCTGCTCGAGGCGGTCAAAAGGGGCCTCAGCGGAGGTGAAACAAATGGGTCCACACACTGGGCTTCTCTTCAAGTGGCACCCGAATGGATCAGTTTATGGTGACTAATGGCGAATAATCATGAGTAACGATGATTAAAGGTGAGCACTGATGATTGATTTCCCCAAAAGTTTGGGGAAACTACTGGTTGGGATATCTCCCCTGTTTCGCCACTCTCCACCGTTGACGGCGGCCCAGGGGCGATGGGAACCACTGGCCCGAACTGCTCTGCCGTCCAGAGCTGCATCTCAGCAGTCACGGGATACAGCACTGCAGGCGCGAAGAGGCTGCGATCCAAATGACCTGCGCAGCGGGGTCACTGTGTCACGTCCCTGTCTCGATGGGATTAGAAAATAGTGGTGTGACATATGACAAAAAGAATGTGGGGATATTGGAAACCTCTGGGAAAACAATAGCGATTCTTGGTGGAAACGTATGTGAAGGGTAACAGTGGGATACAATAGTGGATATAGGGAGATAATATAATAGTCGATATGCCAAACAGTTGTCCCTATGATGTATTGTTATAGTCGAAAGAATTGGATGTTATGATATATGACGGGATTTTCATAAGCAACACTTGGAAAACTATGGGAGAATCCCAAAGTATCCCCAAGTTAGAATGGTTGGTTGGGAGTGTGATTTCCAACGAATGGGTCAATTGATAATCCCCAATGAACCAGGTAGCATGTAGTAACTCCCAAACTAACAACCAATCATCCAGGGTTTTGGTTGCTAATCACATGAAGAAGATAAAGAGCAGCTACGACTTGCAAGCTGACGTTCAATTTTGCTGTCAACATCTTCACTAAATTCCGTTTTTGATTTTTAATTGTGACATGTGTTTTTTGCCATAGACATGTCACATAAATAGGTTACCTGTCATGTACCCGCAATTTGCATAAACCAAATGGTCATAAACATCATATTGTTTTCTCAATACTTACCCGTAGCCATATCCCAAAGTTGTAAACCCAATGCCATAACCAAATGGGTGGCACAAATCATCCCCAAATGGTAGGTTTATTGTAGGGTTTAAGTTATTAACACTTTACTTGGAGGATCATCCCACAGTGGTTAGTAACCACATTCATAACCATCGCATACATTGAAAAAACACTTAGAGGACTTACTAACCTGTATCAGTCCATGATCCTCATGCTTTCTTGGTTAAATCATGTTAAATCCCCACTGTATCCCCATGATTTTGGTGTTAAATCCCTATTCTTAATTATTTGGTTTTGATATCCCTCAAGGCCCATTGTTTGGGGTTGACCGGTGATGATAACATAACTCGCTGCCTCCACCCGCGGCTTCGTTCAGCACCTTGGCTCCCTTGCACTTGGCATCCTGGGAAGCAACAAACGCACGTCAGGTGAGCCACAAAGAAACAGAAAAAATCGGGGAATGAACGAATTGATCATCAATACTTGCGGTGGCTAATGATGATTGATGGAGATTCATGCTGATTAGTGATTTATGATGATTAATTTACGCATTCATATCAACGAAAAATTGTGAATTCACCATGAAAATGGGGGATACTTTGTAAAACCGTCTAGATTGAGGATACAATCTCAATTCTTAGTGGTCGGCAACAATAGTGGTTAAACAACAAAACTATCCAAAATGTGGACTATTTCGTGGTAGAATGGGCATGAATGGGAATTCTCGGGGATCCTAGGTGGTGCAAATTCAGAAGTTGCGGAGATCGGATTCTTAGAACTTCCTGTAAAAATCATGTAGAGGCTTCGAACATTTTTCCAAGCACAACATGGCATGTTGCCATAAAAAAATATCAGTGCATTATACATGTATATATATATATATATTTATAGATATCATATGGTTTGTATCTAAAACACCAAATATGGTGCTTCAAGTGAGCAATCTCGAAAACCCTAGGTCCACAATTTTTTTAAGGTCTCATCGCCTACCACACATTTGCACAAAAATGATATATCGCACACTTGGGGGTATCGCTTGCAGCAAAAATTAATGATATACCTGACTCCAGAGCGGAGGCTGTGCTTCCTTTTTGATCATGCATTTTCGCTGCAGGACTCTGAGCTATCTGAGGAGGTGCTACTGGAAGAGGTGCTTTGCAAATCTCTTTTCTCCCCCTGCCAGGTAAGACCACACTGTTGCATGGCCAGCCAGCTTGTTGGCCAGCCACCTCTACACAGCCACTCTATAGCGAGCTCTCCAGCTCTCCGGGCGTACAAACCCGAATGCTATGGCGCTTGCCAGCTTTCCGGGACCCTACGGGCCCGAACCTTTGCCCGAAAGAATGTCAGATAGAATGCCAATCTATCTATCTATATATCAATCTATCATCTATCTATCTATCTACCTATCTATCTATCTAGCTACCTATCTATCTATCTAATGTTGTCGACTGATTAGTGTGAGGGCCCCCCCCCCCCTCCCCCCCAAACAGTTTTAGTCTACTCAATAACAGACCATTTTTTTGCGCCCCCCCACCCTCAACATTTTTTTAAATTGATTTCAATTTACTTTCAATTGAAATCAATTTACTTTCAATTGATTTCAATTTACTTTTAATTAATTGATTTCAATTTACTTTCAATTTACTTTCAATTGAAATCAATTTACTTTCAATTGATTTCACTTTCAATTGATTTCAATTTACTTTCAATTGATTTCAATTTACTTTCAATTGATTTCAATTTACTTCCAATTGATTTCAATTTACTTTCAAGGGTTTTTGCTTTTTTTTTCAACCCCAAAAGTTGTTGGGCACAATAGAGTACCATCCAAACATTCATATTATTGAGTAACTCAGCCACTCATGGGGTACCACCTTGAAAAATTGTTTGGGTGCTGTTTTTTAATAAGGGTTTAATAAGGCATCTAATTATTTGGAAAACCTTGCATTTTAAAGCTTGAATACAAATATGGCTTTCTAAAGTAAATGGACCAGCTTTACTCAAAGAAAGGTGGAGAAGGTTTTTGATTTTTTTCAACCCCAAAAGTTGCTTGGCACAATAGAGTACCATCCAAACATTCATATTATTGAGTAACTGAGCCACTCATGAGGTTACCCCTTGAAAAATTGTCTGGATGCTGTTTTTTAATAAGGGTTTAATAAGGCATCTAATTATTTGGAAAACCTTGCATTTTAAAGATTTAACACAAATATGGCTTTCTAAAGTAAATGGACCAGCTTTACTCAAAGAAAGGTGGAGAAGGTTTTTGATTTTTTTCAACCCCAAAAGTTGCTTGGCACAATAGAGTACCATCCAAACATTCATATTATTGAGTAACTGAGCCACTCATGAGGTTACCCCTTGAAAAATTGTCTGGATGCTGTTTTTAATAAGGGTTTAATAAGGCATCTAATTATTTGGAAAACCTTGCATTTTAAAGATTCAACACAAATATGGCTTTCTAAAGTAAATGGACCAGCTTTACTCAAAGAAAGGTGGAGAAGGTTTTTGATTTTTTTCAACCCCAAAAGTTGCTTGGCACAATAGAGTACCATCCAAACATTCATATTATTGAGTAACTGAGCCACTCATGAGGTTACCCCTTGAAAATTGTTTGGGTGCTGTTTTTTTAATAAGGGTTTAATAAGGCATCTAATTATTTGGAAAACCTTGCATTTTAAAGCTTGAATACAAATATGGCTTTCTAAAGTAAATGGACCAGCTTTACTCAAAGAAAGGTGGAGAAGGTTTTTGATTTTTTTCAACCCCAAAAGTTGCTTGGCACAATAGAGTACCATCCAAACATTCATATTATTGAGTAACTGAGCCACTCATGAGGTACCCCTTGAAAAATTGTCTGGATGCTGTTTTTTAATAAGGGTTTAATAAGGCATCTAATTATTTGGAAAACCTTGCATTTTAAAGATTTAACACAAATATGGCTTTCTAAAGTAAATGGACCAGCTTTACTCAAAGAAAGGTGGAGAAGGTTTTTGATTTTTTTCAACCCCAAAAGTTGCTTGGCACAATAGAGTACCATCCAAACATTCATATTATTGAGTAACTGAGCCACTCATGAGGTACCCCCTTGAAAAATTGTTTGGATGCTGTTTTTTAATAAGGGTTTAATAAGGCATCTAATTATTTGGAAAACCTTGCATTTTAAAGATTTAACACAAATATGGCTTTCTAAAGTAAATGGACCAGCTTTACTCAAAGAAAGGTGGAGAAGGTTTTTGATTTTTTTCAACCCCAAAAGTTGCTTGGCACAATAGAGTACCATCCAAACATTCATATTATTGAGTAACTGGGCCACTCATGAGGTACCCCCTTGAAAAATTGTCTGGATGCTGTTTTTTAATAAGGGTTTAATAAGGCATCTAATTATTTGGAAAACCTTGCATTTTCAAGATTTAACACAAATATGGCTTTCTAAAGTAAATGGACCAGCTTTACTCAAAGAAAGGTGGAGAAGGTTTTTGATTTTTTTCAACCCCAAAAGTTGCTTGGCACAATAGAGTACCATCCAAACATTCATATTATTGAGTAACTGAGCCACTCATGAGGTTACCCCTTGAAAAATTGTTTGGGTGCTGTTTTTTTAATAAGGGTTTAATAAGGCATCTAATTATTTGGAAAACCTTGCATTTGAAAGGCTTTAAATAATTTAACAAATTAAAAAAAAAGAAAAACATTTTTAAGTAACCAATTGAAAAAATAAATTCAATAAATAATTCATTAATTAGGAACAATTCAAAAAAAAAACTGGAAAAACATTTGCCACAATACAGGCCCCCCCCACCAAACAGCAGGGTACTGAATAAGGAGGAAAAGTTTTGCCACAATAGAGTACCATGCTACTAATCAGGTGCTAACATTATCTATCTATCTATCTATCTATCTATCTATCTGGCCGGCTGGCTGGCTAGCTGGCTACCTATCTATCTAGCTATCTCTATCTAGCTTGCCACCAGAAAACATGAATGTGTCACAGACTGATGTGCATCTGGGTGTCTAGAACAGAAAAAGGGGTATCGCGTGGATATCGCTTAGGCATTGCTCAAAATCACCTCATGTTTTTCCTCCAAATTTGGTACCTGTTGATACTGTAGTACTTTGTCAGAAAGCAGCTTCATGAAACAACAGCAGTACGAAGCTAAAGTCAGCAAAGAGGCAAGCAAAACAGTGCAAGTTCACATGGAGGGTCAATGGAAACACTCTCCAGCAACGACGATAATTTGTCAGGGAGAGTCAATGGAAACATGCATGGCAAAGATGTGCAGGCAGCTAGTGAGACAAACGTGCTTACAGGGACTTGGCTTCCGCTTCTGCGGATTCCCTTCTCTGCGGACCACTCCATGGATATCAAGAAGAACACTTTCTGAGGAGCACGTACCCTTGTGGACTCAATTCTGGTTCACACACGACGTCAGAAATCAATGTCCAAAATGACGTTACCTTGAAAGGGGCATCGCTAATCTGGAGAGGTCCCATCGCTTACCGTGTGTGTTCAACAATTTCCATCAATTTCCATAAACCAATGTCCGCCCAATACATATTTAGTATTGCCGGGGTTTTTGCGGTGGCTCAAGTAAATTTTCTCAAATGATAATTGATAACAATACAAAAACTATGATAATAACTTAGTAACTAACGGTGATGTAAAGACATATCAATAATAATGTGGTAAACTGAACAATAAGCCATCCAAAATGATACGTACCGTGAATGGGTTGTACACATAATCCCCAAATGGTAGGTTTATCTTTGGGTTTACCACATTAGGAGGATCATTCCACAGTGCTTAGTAACCACAATTATAGCCCATTCATACATTGAAAAAAACACTTAGGGGACTTATTAACCAGTGTCAGTAACCATGGCTCTCATCCATTCAAACCTGGGATAGCCGAGAGATTAGGGCACTTGCTAACCAGGGTTTCTTACCACAAGGTGGTGCCCCCCAGTCATAGATGCTTGGCTTAGTTTCACCTCATTGACTTACTGACTAGTTCGATAAAGCTATAGTGACATATATATATATGCCATTAAACCATGGAATTCACCATAGTTATGCTTGCCAACTGAGCTTGCAAACCTATTTACAAAACTTTGGCTTAGCTTGACCAACTGCAACTATAGCTATAGTCAACAATGTTAACAATAACCAATAGTTAATTAACCATACCTTTAACTTCCTTCAACTTATCTGGCTATTTTCGTCAAAACCCTGGCACCCTGGATGCCCGAATATAGCTGATGAGTTGATGTTCATTCCCACAAATATGGCAGTTTCATGGGTAACCCCAATGACCCATCCTCGCCTCAGTCAGGGTCTTCATAAGCGCCGTCGAGCTACAGGCCTCGCCAAACATGGCGGATTTCACCCAGTAACTGATGATTCTTCGCCAAGAACATGGGATTTTAGATGATCTTAGGCCATGAAGAAGGGATATGGTTGTGTCTGAAAATGGGTTGTCTACACCAAC